GAAGGGAGGCGGCCTGCGTCCGATACTGGATCTTCGCCGGTTGAATTTCCCTCTTTACAAAGGGAAATTCAAAATGTTGACGCTGAAGGCCATCATATCTCATATCCGGCTGGGGGACTGGTTCGTGACAGTAGACCTCAAGGATGCTTATTTCCACATCCAGGTCGTACGGTGACACAGGAAGTTTCTCAGGTTCGCCTTTGGAGAAAAAGCGTACCAGTACAGGGTCCTCGCCTTTGGCCTCGCTCTAGCGCCAAGGACGTTCACAAAGTGTATGGATGCTGCTCTGGCCCCGCTGCGGCTCCAGGGCATCCATATACTCAACTACCTGGATGATTGGCTCCTTTTAGCCCACTCCAGAGAGTTGGTGACTCACCACAGGGACATTGTCCTCCGTCATATTCAGTCTCTCGGTTTGAGGTTGAATACGGAGAAGAGCGTTCTTACTCCAGCTCAGAGCACGGTTTTCTTGGGGGTACGCATGGACTCCATTCTTATGCAGGCCCGTTTGGCTCCTGCACGGATTTCCAGTCTGGTGACATGTCTGTCCCGCTTTGAGCTAGGCCAGCATGTTTCCGTGAGCACCTGCCGCAGACTTCTGGGCCGCGGCCTCCCCTGTGCTACCTCTAGGGCTACTCCACATGAGACCTTTTCTGTGGTGGATAAAGCTCTCAGGGGCTCGGCCCACGGGGCCAGCCCTTCGCCTATTGAAGGTGTCACGCAGTTGCTTTCGCGCCCTGTCAATCTGGCGGGACCCCCTCTTCCTTCAGAAAGGAGTCGGTATGGGTGCGGTATTCCGTCGCCAGATGGTTACGACGGATGCCTCTCTGACCGGCTGGGGAGCGGTTTTCGAGGGCAGGCCAGCGTGTGGGGTTTGGACTGGTGAGACCCTCTCGAGGCACATAAACAGCTTGGAACTGAGGGCTGTCTTGCTGGCTCTTTGCCACTTTCTCCCTTTCCTCGAAGGACACCATGTCATTGTCAGAACGGACAATATGGCAGTAGTGTCCCATGTAAACAGACAGGGGGGTTCACGATCGCGCACCCTAGACAGGCATGCGCGTCACCTTCTCCTGTGGTCCCAGGACAAGTTCCTCTTTCTGAGAGCAGTTCATGTATCAGGGATTCTGAACCTCGCAGCAGATTTCCTGTCGAGGCAGAATCTCAGGTCTGGGGAATGGATGTTGAACAGCCAGACGGTGGCCCTGATCTGGGAGATGATCGGGAAGGCGGAAGTGGACCTCTTTGCATCTCAGGAGTCGTCCCAATGCCCGCTTTGGTTCTACCTGAGCCCTCCAGCTCCGTTGGGGATAGATGCATTCGCCCACCTTTGGCCGATGCAGAAACTCTATGCTTTCCCGCCCATCAAGCTGATCCAGGCGATTCTGTCCAGAGTGAGGGAGAGCGGAGTCCGCCTCCTTCTGGTAGCCCCATTCTGGACCGTCCCAGCCATGGTTTTTGGAGCTGATCCCTCTGTTGGAATCCTCCCCCTGGGAGATCCTGGTCAGGGAGGACCTGCTTTCCCAGCTTCAGGGCAGAATATGGCATCCTCGCCCCGACATTTGGAAGCTGTACGTTTGGCCTATCAGAGGCCGTTAGCTTTAAGCTTTGATCTCCCAACCGACATTCAGGAGACCATTGCGAGTGCTAGAGCCCCTTCTACAAGGAGGCTGTATTCCTCCAAGTGGAGGGTGTTCGAGGCATGGTGCTTAACACATGATAGGAACCCAGTTAGCTGCCCAGTAGGCTCAGTGCTGGAATTTCTGCAGGAAAAGTTTGCTTCCGGAGCGGCTGCTACCACTCTCAGAGTATATGTCGCAGCTATTGCCGCTCATAGAGAATCAGATGAGATTCCCTTGGGGAAACTGAGGTTAGTTTTTGCCTTCATGTGTGGGGTTAGGCGCCTGAAACTGGCTCGCCCCCCTCGTGGGACCTGTCAGTAGTCCTGGAGGGTTTGACAGAGGCTCCCTTCGAGCCCTTGGAGTCAGCCCCTGAGCGGATTCTGACTCTTAAGGTTGCTCTTTTGTTGGCTTTATATTCACTAAAGCGGATGGGGGATTTGCAGGCTCTCTCTATTAGTGAGTCATCCTTGGACTTCGCCCCAGGCCTGGTTAGGGTTACCTTGAGGCCGAGGTCGGGGTATGTACCCAAGGTTCTTTCCACGGCATTCCGCTCTTAGGTTGTTGACCTTAACGCTTTCCACCCTCCTCCTTTTGCCTCTGAGGAAGACAGGAAACTTAACTTGCTCTGCCCGGTCCGTTCTTTGAAGTTGTATGTAGATCACTCAGGCGGTTGGATGAAATCTAACCAGCTCTTGGTATGTTTTGGTGCTGGCCGCCGCGGGCTTGCAGCATCAAAGCAGAGGATTTCCCACTGGGTAACGGACGCTGTTTCGCTGGCTTACGAGGTGTGTGGTTTGCCTTCACCTCTTAGCATCAGAGCACATTCCACCAGAAGTGTGGCTTCCTCTCAAGTTCTCTTTAGAGGGTCCCTCTTGGAAGACATTTGTGTGGCGGCAGGTTGGTCCTCTCCGCACACCTTTGTGAGGTTCTATAATTTAGATCTTGACATGACTCCAGGTTCCCAGGTTCTATATGCTTGAACCGATCAGGCCATCCTTAAAAATATTTTGGTTTGCAGTAACAGCAAAAAAAAAAAAAAAAAGGGTCGGTAGGTAGGTCTATATATTTTTTTTTCAAGATTCAATGTAAAAAAAAAGGATAATTTTGGTCATGGTGATTAGGTCGGTATGAATTTAAACAAATTTGCATATCGTGACGTCACTGACTGGGTCTTCAACCCCCATGCCTTCGGGCGCACCATTGCGAACCTCATTCTGATACAGGTTATAGACCACAAACAATTTGAAATCTTTGTAAAAAAACAAACATATTTATTGCATTAATTCCAGCTGCATTCATTTGGAAAAAAATAGGCAGAATCAAAAGAAAAAAAGGAGCCACTAGATTTCAATGAAAGTGGATTTTCAGAGGGAAACAAATAAATTAAAATGACTAATCTCACCAGCGCCGCGCCGACCAATAAAACAGCGCGTTTGGCACCATTCGTTTACATTTGACCCATACTGTTACAAGCCCCCTTTCTGGTCTAGGGGCAGGAAAGGAGGGTAACAAAAAGTTGCAGGGAGAGAGTGAGAGATTTGACCCATAAACATCTGCTATTATTAACGGAAATCAGTGTGGTCAAATAGCTAGGCGCATTGTAGGAAACTATAGGCCGATTAAGTAGTCCTGACATATTATGGAATGGTCGATTTTCTTTTGTGCAATTTAGTACATTTCGGTATGGGATGTGCTGTTTTATTGGTCAGCGCGGCGCTGGTGAGATTAATTCGCGCCGCTCTGACCATTGGCTGGCGCAAGCAAACACTTCTCCTGCGCTGTCGCGTCTGTCGCGCTCGCGCGTCTCGGTCCATTGAGCCACGCAGATTACAAGTCAGCGCAGCGCGAACTCTGTAACACACCGCGCCGTTTCGTCCCCCTTTCGGTGTGTTTGGCTTCCCACACTTATGTGTGTTTGTTTGTCAGAGCCTGCAGTTGCTGTGTGACGCGCGTTCGCGGTGGGCATGTCATGACGAGCTGGACGGGCTCCGAGAAAAGGCCGTTAACATCGATTCCCTATTTGACCATTAAGAATTTCGAATAATGAGCGACTAAATGTAGGCTCATACAGACGTATTTCACAAGCAGCCGCGCCGCAGCCATCATCACCGAGCGCGAACCATTGACAGTGAATGAAACGAAGCGAACGCACAGGCCATAGTGTGACATGCGTAAACCAATGGTGTAAACATAATCATAATAGATGACGCCACGGGTTTTTATTTAAAAGAAAGAACGTAGCCTACGCAATTTATATTCACAATACTTACTATAATAAATGTATATTATTTTATTGCATTTGTATTAGTTGTTTGAAGAGTAAAAAAAAAATCGGTCGGTCTTAATGCAAGTTTACAACCGGCAAGTCGGTCGGACTAAAAGGGGAAAAAAATAAATAATTGGGTCGGTCCTAATTTGACAGGGTCGGTCGGGTTACGGCAAACAAGAATATTTTTAAGCATGGCCTCATGGTCATTATTATTTGGTCTGGTACCAGTTATGGCAGCGCTTAGCTTGGCGAGTTTGGTATTTCGTTCCCACTGCGCTTTCCGCAGCGTTGAGTGAACCTATGAAAGAGAACGTCTCTGGTTACTTGCGTAACCTATGTTCTCTGAATAGGGAACGAGACGCTGCGTTCGCTGCCAAGCTCCTCGCGCTGCCGATAGTTTTTCTTTTCGGCAGAGAAATCTGAGGAGAGGATGGCGCGCGCGCATTCATCATGCTACGACGTAAGACCGTCGGGGCGGAGCCAGCTTTGCGCGAGCGCCATCAGCCAATGAATTGGCGTGATTCTATAGGGCTTCAGGCAATCGGCACATCCAGAGGATATCCCACTGTGCTTTCCGCAGCGTCTCATTCCCTATTCAGAGAACATAGGTTACGCAAGTAACCAGAGACGTTTTCAAGGGTTTTCCAGGACTTAAATTTACAAAAAGTCAAATTCAAGTTCTTCAAGTACTTTAATTAAGCACCTTATACGAACCCTGACATAAAGTACAGCCTGCCAGTCTTTAGCACATAAAATCCTTTAGTATATCAACTACAGATCAAATGTTTGGGGTCAATAAGATATTTTTAAAAAGAACTCTTATGCTCACCAAGGTTGCACTTATATGATTAAAAACCCCCCAGTAAAAACAGTAATATTGTGAAATATTATTACAATTTAAAATAACTATTTTAAAAATTATTTATTCCTGTGATAGTAAAGCTGAAAACAGTTGAGTGGCTTAATATTTTTTGTGAAATCCTTGATACATCTTTTTCGGGATTCTTTCATGAATATGAAGTTCAAAAGAATAGCATTCAAGCAAGTCTTGTTAATGAAAATTATATACCATTTGCAGAGGTGCTATAGTAGCTTTATAAAAGACATACCCACAAACCAGCCATCGTCACATTTCTCTATGACATCAACAATGTCCCCCTCCTTCAGCTCCAGCTCATCCTCATTACGAGGCACATAGTTGTAGACAGCTTGGAAGCTTGAGCAACATTAAAATAATGTTTTTAAAATGTGCTGTTTACGGTTGGACAGTGAATAAACAAAACAACACAGACAGTGTCAACAACTGTAAAATGTACTTACGGGTCACCGCCTGCATTCTGGGAATCCTGCATCATTTTCTGAGAGACAGAGAAAAAGAGTGGAAAGCGTCACTATAGTGTGTATGTAACACTTTAACGCGTCAGAATATCATGCCAAATCCAGGCACATGATGTCATTCTATGAGTCTTCATCGACATCACAGAACCTGTTGTTACAATACACACATAGAGGAAATCCACCCATGATGCGACCAGAGGACTATAAAAGAGATTAGAAAGGACTTCATTTCCCAGTCTGCACTGGTGCTAGTGTCACAGCACACTCCATCCTACCCTTCGTGCTCTACTGGGTGATAAACAGGGAGATAAACAGCGCCTCCTGGTGGAAATGGGGCTACGTGGTGGTTTACCCCCAACCACCACTTCCTGCCTATAAACTGTCTGCAAGAATCAAATGCAAGGCAACCAATCAGAGATCAGCATTCTCAAACAAAATCCATTGCTGGCATTGAGATTAAGACTATGTATGAGGTTATAAATAATGCTGTGTTAATTCCATTTCAGTTTTAGTAGTGATTCCAAAATCTTGAATTATTAGGGATTTGATAAGTACAGTCCAACTTTGGGCAAGTAAGATACACAGACATGCAAAAACACACCTGTCTCACTTGCACTATGGACCCTTGACACCGTATTTAAAATAACGAATGAGGAATATAAGGACTGTTCATTCAGTTTGTCGATCATTCAACCAACAAAATTATTGAAAACAAATTTTCAGTGAACAAAAAATAGAGAAAGAATGGATAGGACCCCATGTCATAAAAAAAAACCCATATGTTATTTTCTGATGTAGACAGAATAAAGTTTTATGCAGCTCTTGCAATAAAAACAGGTCTTGGTAACTACTGGCTGTTAAGCTAAAAATAAGGACAGGTATATTAAAAATCTGTCTGACATTGATAATATTCACGTTATTGCTGATTATTGATAAAATGCTGATAATTAAAATTATATACTTTTTTTTATTTAAAAAGAAACACTAAGACAATCATTTTAAATGCTGAATTTAGGCATTAAAATGGATGTTCATTTTGAGATTTTATGAATTAATTTAATATAAGATTAAATTAATTTGTTTAATTTGTAATATAAATGTAAAAATAGGGACATGCACATTTAATTAAATATTCAATATCGGTCAATACTAAAAAAAGATCCACTAAAAAAATAAGTCTCTAAAAACAGTTGATAACCGAAATAGTGATATATTTTAAATACCTACAGAAAACAGCATAAAGGCACAAAAGTGGTCCATATTATGTTCATCGGTCACAATGAACTGTGTGTGTGGCAAGAGCAGCTTGCAGCTTGCAATATTTCTATTGCAGGTTTGGAACAATATGATGATGTATTTATTATAAATGATTTATCTGTGCACATCTATATTTAATTTTTAATTCCCTCGTAATTTTAAATCAAAATAACTTCCCCTCCCTCTCACAACAACATCTCTTCTCTGATGGGCTGGACAACCTGTCACTCACATGAGATCACAACAAGAGCGAACAACAACGATCCAATCAGTTTCTGATGGAAAAATTCAAGTCCCGTCCTACATTTTTTCTTGTTTGAGAAGCCATTTCAATTAGATATACTACAATAGGGAAGAAAAGACCATCATAAAGTCTTGTCATTTGTATTAAATTAATATGTTTCTATTGCTCACATATTTACATAGCCTTTATGGTTTTTTTTCTGAAGGTTCGGGGTTAATTTCCACAAATGAAATGACTATTAATGTTTGCTTAATGTCAAAATAATTCTACATGTCGCACATCAATACACACGTGCATGCACCACACATCACCCCTGAAACCACTGTTTTGTACATTCTTTTTACCTTAATCTTAGGAGACCGAGGCTGTGAACGTGGGGAGAGAGGAGAAATAGATGTAGAGGATGGGGGGATGGATGGTGAGGGCTGAGTGGAGACTACAGGTACAGAGGAGGGAGGATATGAGGAAAGGAGTGTAGGAGAACTGGGAGGAGAAAGTGGAATTTCAGGAGATGGGATGCGGTTTGAAGAAGATGGAGGAGGAGAAGGAGTGGAGGGTGGCGAGGCTGGAATAGTTGTAAGAAGAGGCTGGCAGGAGGAATAAAGAGGTGGATGGAAAGATGGAATAGGGGATAAAGGAGGAGATGGTGGGATTGGCGAGAAACGAGGAGAGGAGGGAGGAGAAGGAGAGTGGGAGGAGGGGATATTTGAGAAAATAGGAGTGGAAGTAGGAGAGGATAGCTGAGGAACAACAGAAGAAAGAAGTGGTTGCGGAAATGAGGGAGGAGGAGGAGATGAAATGTATTGATAATTAGAAGGCAAAGAAGAGGCCGAAGAAGGATAAACGTTAAGAGTCGCTGAAGGAGGAAGAGGAAGAGGGATTGGGGAGTTTGGAGGAGACAGAGGAGGAGAAGTAGGAGTGGAGAGAGAGGGAGGGAGAGGAGAGTCTGAAGGGGAAGAAACAACTGAGGATTGGAGGATAGATGAGGAATAGGGCACCAAAGGAAGAGGTGAAGAAATAGAACATTGAAAAGGTTTGGAAAAAGACGGTGGAGAACAGTGAACACCAGAGGCAGATGATTCAATGTGTGGAGGAGAAAAGCTAATGGAGGACAGAGTAAGGGAGGAATTAGGGGTGGGGGAGGAGGAGAAGGGTAGAGATGGAGTGATGGAGGAGGAGTCAGCCTGGCAAAGAGAAGGACAAAGCTGAAACTACTGAAGTGAACTACTTTTTACAACTGTAAGCCTGACTGTCAAAATTTCACACACAACTAGTGTGACAAAGACTATTTAAAGGGGCCATATCATGGAAAACAGGACTTTCCTTGATCTTTTGAAATGGAATTAAAGTAGACTATATATTTCTATTCAGAAATCTTGCCATATAACCTTCAATGTTTACTTATCTACAACTATTCAGTATCCAGAAGTTTAGCACGTCCAGTAATGGCAAAGTAATAAGGATAACGCAGGATTGGTGAATCTGATGATACCACTCAGGAAACTGGGCATATCTTCATAAATCTTTTTCCAACGGACCCTGACAGAAAAGCCACAACCCATAAATGATAAATACCTATAACAACTATAATCATTCTAATTCTATGAGAAAAGGGAAGTCCACACCACAACTAATGGCTCAGGTGAACGATAACATTGGAATCACTTTCAGAATGTTTTTTTTTTAACTGATGAACAATACAAATTTTGACTGCCAATCAGAATCCCCTTCACTTTAAAATGAGCATTTAAAGTGGCAGACAACAATAACTACAGCGCACACTTATATATTATTACAGAAAGTTATCGTCTGTGGGTGTGTGGATGCTAGTTAACGTTATAGTTATGGTTCTTGGTGTGAAGAGGCTATTAAGGTTCAGATGCAAAACCAGTCTGTTTAAGAAACACTGAAAAACACTATACATATGGACTTCGGAGAATTATTATTATTTTTTACAAATATGTTGGATATGGCCCCTTTAATTTAGTCAAAGAACATGCAAAAAAATTCAGAATTGACAAAAAAATACCATTGAACTTAAGGTTTAAGAGTTTTTTACTCTCGACACACAACCAGACTATCATGCTTCTGTCACACTGCATGTTGCACCTCTTTTTTTGAAACAGCCTCCAAGGCTGATCTGCTGATTGTTTCATCATCCTCTTCCTGTATGTACAACTCCGAAAGCTCCTCCCATTTTAGTGCAGCTACTGGACTGTAAAACTCTGTTTTCTCATTCAAAATGACTGACAGCAGCTCCTCAGCCTTTTTCTCACAGATATCATGATGTTTATCCAATTTATTTTCTGATTTGTGGCTTGAACTGATGGACATAGGCCTATCAGGTAATACATCTTGAATAGCTATGTTTTTCGATCGATTGGCCAATCTGCATTGAAGTTCATTATGGAGTTGATTTTTTAGAAACGTCGACATAAGCTCACCATATGGATCAAGTTCGCTTTTTGGCCTAAATGGGTCATAGTTTTGTTTCAAGCTGTGCTCCTTTACATACATATCTTCTAAGAGCTTTTTGCCATTATGCTCCTTTCGTTTAGTTCTTAACAGCTGTTGATTATAGTCTGTGATCCATTTCATGGGTAAACTGAAAGTTTCTTTTACATCTATGTCTGTTGGTTTATCTCTGTAGATAAGTTCATGGGAAACATTTGAGGACTCTGAAGTGATTGGTCCATGGCTGAAAAAAGGGGAGGAAGGGTTTTGTGGTGGGGTAACCCTTTTCACAAGTGGAGCAGGGGATTTGAGGCCTATGTATTGTAGGTGGTTGGGTAAGGGAGGAGGGGTGGGTGGCACTGGACTGCCACATGAAGTGGTGGACACACCCAATGTGAGGGACAGCCATTCGCTAGTGACCGTTTGAAGGTGTGTCCTAGTGGCAGAATCAAGCCACAGGAAATGGGAGTCTGTATCGTGCTTGAGCAAGGAAGAAAGAAATCAGAAAGACTGGTTTATAAACTTATTGGCTTAAATAAGGTCAGACTTTGTGGGTGTGATGGTCCAAAACTGGTCCAAGACTTACCTTCTGTGCCCTATGTGTGTGTGTTTCTCCTTGGTGACTGGGGCTCTTGGAAGGAGAGCCCTTGATCGCATCGACATAGGACACAGGGAAAATGCCCTGTTTGTTTGAGCCAGGAATCTTTCCCTCATACCAATTCTGATCCACCTTCCTTAGGAGGATCACTCGGTCCCCCTAAAACAGCAAATATGCATGCTTAAAATTAAGGCTAGGGTGAGTTAGTAAGTGCATATTTTAGAGCTTGAGAGATTGTAGGGTGTGTTATAGGTGTTTACACTTGCCTTTCTAAGAGAAAGCTCTACGTTAGTGTCAGCATTGAAGTTGTATCGTGCTATGGCCTCTCCCATATCTCGAACCTGAGCTGGAGGAGGCGGCCTGACAGGCTGCCTCCGCTCTGGAGATGCCACCTTCTGAAGGAGAGAATAAAAGATAGAAAGCAAGAGAGAATACGATTAAGTGTGTGTCAGGGGTTAGTTTAACTCAATAGGTTATATAGACACTGACCTCAACATAAGAGATAGGGAAAATCCCAATCCGACCTCTGTTTTCCCCCTCATACCAGTTACTGTCGATCTGTCTGATGATGTTGACTGCATCCCCTTTCTTAAAGGAAAGTTCCCTGTAAATGCACACACATGTGCAGGCAAAATATGCATTACTTACTTTGTAAGGATAATATATTTATACCTATTTATTCATACATATTTGACACTGAATCTACCTTGTATCGGTCAGTTAAATCTCAACTTACTGATACAACAAATAACAAAAACCTTTCTGTGGTGCACAATGACAGATACCCCTGGGTGATCACAGGCAGGTGCAGGACATACATATTTAGTAAAATGATATATATATATATATATATATATATATATATATATATATACATACATATTTAGTAAAATGATATATATATATATATACTGTATAGTATATGTGTTATTTGCAAGCTGTGGTACTTATCTTTTTTGTTATACAATGTATTTTGGTGACATGCAAATTTCAGGCTGAAATTCATGGGCCTTGAAATTCTCTAATGATTTTATTAGCATGGATTTTCATGCAAGCTGACACTTTCATGCAATGACTGACAGCTCAGAGCTCAATTGCGATGCAGAGACCAATTTCACTTTAGTATGCAGAAGCCAGAGAGCAAAAAAGTGCCACATTACAAAATGCAAAACAAAAGAAAGAACAAGTTTTGAATGGCGGGAGTAAAATTAAATGAATTTTCACAAAAAAGCTGGCACAGCCAATTTTGCAGATTCAAATTCAGTGAGATGCTGTGATGTTATAGTCTCATAGTTTTATATATATACTCACTTGGCAGACTGAGCATTAAAATCATAAATAGCCCTGGCAGACTGTTTCTGATGGAGAAGAGAAGACAATATAAGATAGGTCATCTGCTTAGAGGAGACCTACGAGGCAAGCAAAAAGACCATCAGCTATCCAACATATGTACGCCTAAACCATATTTTCTGAGACCTTAACCAAAATAAAGGTTACAAGATGATGGGATTTATGGCATTGCACAATAAGGATTCAGGATTTGCTCTGATTGGTTCCCATCACCATACATTTACTCTTTAATCAATTATGTTTTCCCTGCAGGTTTCAAATCATGGTTCTAATTAAATAAAAACTAGTTCATGTAAAAATAGATATGAGGGATAGCAACATATCTACCTCTCTTTCTGGAGTGGGTCTTCTGCTTTGTGGTGTGATACGTCCTGTATCAGAGCCCTGATCTGTGGAAGCACAGAGAAAAAGTCAAACGAAAGAAAACACACTTGTGTAGTGTCCATGGTGGCACCACATGCATTCTAGTGCTGTCAAAAGGAAAATGAGACAATTTAAAAATGTACAAATATTTATTTCACATTTGGGGTCGAACAAAAAGTAAGGGATGATCTAGAACAGCACAGTATGACATAAAATGGCATGCGCTTGACATAAAAAGGGCCTAAATACTACAATCATCACAGAACACTGTATTTAACCAAAACTTAACATAGAAAGTACATAAAATAGGAAATAAAAAAGCGGCTTAACAACGGTATTCCATACATCAGCAAATAAAAATAAATAAAAAATCAATGACGGGCAAGGGCACAAAATCAAATCATAAAATTAAACTCAGTAAACACACCATGCATATAGCTAGCCAGACACGAATTGCACCATGAACTGCCAATACTTCTTTTCCACTTGTATAATTGCACAAACAGTATGAACTGCAGGGATGAGACAGGCTTAAAAACAACACTGTTAAATTCTCCATGCATTCATAATGGGAGTTTATGTGTTAGCATTAAATCTAACTATTAGCTAATGTACTAAAAAAGTACAAAATATTGACTATTGTCTAATAAAATATGTTTTAGAATGAGAATGTCCCTCCTCCTAAAAGTAAACCACTGGCAACCGAGTTACCTAATACATTCACATCCGACACTAGGTGCCATGCTGAAGAAGCATGCTGATTATGTAGAAAAGAAGTGAAAGCGTTTGCATGTTTTCGGTTGGATTCTGCAATAATGATACGGAAGGATAAAAACTAAGGATAAAGAACTAGCTGCACCTGAGTAGCAGTGCACATTAGCATTAACATTATGCTGGTTGTTGTTGGAGGCGTCTGCATGATGTTGCTGCTGGTAGGAGGCACATTGGTGGGCTCCATGGTAAGGCTGGTGGACGTGGGGCGAGGAGGGTGAGCCGGACCCTCTTTGAGCCCGCAAGGAGGAGCTACGCTTGGGCACGTCTGGTAGCAACTCTTCCAATAACCGCCGTAATATGCTATCATCTGGCATCCTTGCTGGTCCTTGTCCCTTTTCCGCTCTTATGTGGTCATAAATGTCCTGCAAAGCAGCATCTAAGGCCTCATAAATCGCAGTTTTGGATTTCGGTCGTCCGCTTCTGCAATGTCGTCGTTGGGTCGGCGGGGAGCCTCGTTTCCGGCGGAAAGGCACAGGGCTGACCAGGAAGGCCAGTTTGGAAAGGCCTGACTCACTGGGTGACTGTTGGGCTTGTGGAGATGTAACAGCAGGGTGGGATTCCTGCCGAGCCCTTTCCTGTTGTCGCTCATGTTTTAGCATGGTGGTGAAACGCGTATAGGACGCCGGACAGCGACCCTTACAGGAGCTGATGAGGTGGCGGTGTTGGTAACCTTGACTCTGACCCACACTCTGGTGCATGTGATGGTGGCGGTGGTGATGGTGTCCATGGTGATGGTGTCCATGATGGTGATGTTGCCCAGAACCATAGAAGCTCTCCGATGACGTGAGCGAGCAATGATCCAGGTCGCTCTCGCTACATAGTGAAGACCCTTCTATGTGGATGTCGCTCATTTCGGAGGCACAGGCGTCCTGTTCACTGTCCGAGTAGTCTTGATGCTGCCTCTGGGTTTTCCCATGGATTGGCACCAGGCTATTGATTTCTGGTCCCGGTCTTGGTTGTCCCTCAGGGGGACTTCGAGCTCTTACTGGAGGATCTTCCTCCTCCAAAAGTGATTCAACAGAAAAGCGTCGTTTGGGACAGCTGCTGGCCCTTGAAGACCCTGGTGTGGTGGTGCCCGAAGGGGCATTTTCGTCACCAAGGTCTGGCATGGACTTTGATTTCTGGATCAGCTGTTCATATTCCGATATACGGTTTGGGACCATGTGTTGCGGCACCTCATGACCAAAAGGTGCCCAACCGTGGAGGTTGTGCCTCTGTTGTTGCTGTAGTCGTTCCAACTCGAGGATTCGTGCACGTACAGAACGAATCACCTCTGACGGCAACAGTTGCTCACGGTCTATGTGGTGCATCTTCTTGTAGAGCTGAAGGAAACCTGGAGCATCATGTGCCATCTTACGGCGGTGATGTCGGCGCCCCCTGGGAGATGAGGTAAGACTTTTTACTTGAGGCTTCTGTGGAGCGTCTTCATCGAGCAACGAACCAGCACTTTCCGAGCGAGTGGTAGTCACAGAAGTGGATGCTCTCCCGTCATCACTAGCACCATGTCCATCAGACAACAAGTCATCACAGCTGCGTGATTTGAGCCGTGGTGATGTAGGGGTCATGGCAGATTCATCATCAACGCTACTCCAAGTCTCTGCAGCTTCATGTTGGCCTGTCTGCCAACCGTTCTTGAAGCAGATGGAGCGCTTGGAGCCACGCCAGGTTGGTGTGGAGATAGTGAGGGAGTCTGAGGAGAGATGAGAGGAAGGATGCTCCATACCTGGAGAGCTCATACAGGAGGAGAGTGACTCACTAGCGTCTCCAGCTGTGAATTAAAATAACATCCAACGCAGCATGACAAAGAGGAGACAGGAAAGCTGGTTAGTTAGCTCAGCAGACAGAGATTGATAAAGCGAGATAAAACAGGTATCAGTGAGAAAGTGTCAGTATAGTTATATGAGAAAGAGGACAACATGCAGTCTCACGTAATTATGATTTTCTACAAAGATTCAAACATTTTACAGAATAGGTCTATCTAACCACAAATGTGACCATCTAATGATGACAGAACAAGAGAAAGGAGTATTTTTGGATTTTTAACATAAATCAAACAAAAAATACATTAGGAATTGTTTATAAACTATTCAACCAAGAAATTGTAATAGAACAAATCCATTAAACAGTTATTCTGCCGAAAAAAATGTTGCAATAATTTAATATCCCATGAAGGCCCAGGTATAATTCATTTTCAGCGTTCCGCTCTGTCTCGTGCACAGTCGAGAGCAAGAGCCTTTCAAAGTAGACTCCTTTGACCGTGTGTGTGGAAAGACACTATATGGCGCGTGCACACTATCTAGTGTACTTTGTTTTCAAGTGCTCAAGTCACTTGCATATGTGCTGTTGTACACGCACTGTTCGCACAGTCACACAAATTAGGACGGTGTGCGCAGACATCCGCAGACCCTCCTGATGATGGTAAATACGTCACACGGACAGTGTGCGGACCGTCGCAGAACATAGACGGCTAAAGTATACTTTGGGCTTAAGGCATTGATGCATGATCAACAAGATTCGTTTAGTCTAACACCTTCTATTCACATGTGTAGTTGTGTGAGAGTGTCGGAAATTACCTTTGGCTCTGGATGGTGAGGAGGGGGAGGAACGTATGGTAGGCTTCTTCAATGTCTGTGCTTTATGGGAATCCAGAGGGCGGGAAGATACTTGACTGGCATTCTGCTCACTTCCTGTGTTGGCTTGAGTGACAGATGGTTCTGACTTTCGCCTTTTCCTGTAGTCACTTGCAAAACTAAAATTCAAAGATCAAAAATGACACTAAACTTGTTACATAGTATGTAAACAAGATTACAGAGAAATAATTTATTCTTATGCCTAAAAAACTCACAATTAAGGGAATAACTGTGTAATTGCAATGATTCTTAAAAAACAGTGCATAAACCAAATGAATAAACTGTTTATGCTATTTTGAAAAATGTAAACACCACCCAGAATTAGTCAGAAAGTGGACAACATACTCTAGTACAAATATTGACGATGACAGTCTGATTACAGGGTTTTCTATGCATTAAACAATTCTAAAACAGGGTTCTCATATCATGTACTCTATAGATGCGCCATATGAACAACAGCATGTGTCACTGAGCTAGAGATCATCTGAGAGCAGTAGGAGGTATAAAGAATGCTTAACACTCCAATGCACATACCATTATTGTATGTCGCATTCATATATACTGTACACACTAAAGTGACTAAAATAAAGAGTGGCAGAGCTTTTAAAACATGATGAACAAATAAAATTAGACAGAGGATGCTCAGTTTCTATCCTCCAATGGATATCCAATAAGCATCTCTCTGCGAAATGAAAGAACCTGAGTGAGAAAATAAGATATATGAATGAAAGGGGAGCTTACCTTGAAGGCCCATCAGGCTGTTCGGAAGGCGAGAGATAGAGGGATGACTGAAAGAGAGCAGACAATAAAAGGGAAGAGTGAGATCCATGGGAACAAAGAAGTGTAACGCACCCGTCCTGTGCCTCGCTCACAACCTTCCCCCCGCATGCGCAAAGAAAACGAAGACTGACAAGGGTTCCACATCTCTCTATCCCACCTTGAAGGACTGTGTAAATGAACTGTGACCTCCTGTAAGAATAAAAAAGGGGACAGGGCCCCACAGAAACCAGAGCCCAACAAAAGCCAGCTAAAAAAGCAGTACAGATCTAGAGGCTGCACGTGGCACCAGGTCACAAGAAGCCCAGTCTATTATGTTATCCAAGATCGCCACGCCTCCTTTCCTTTGACACAGCCTGGGGTGAATTACAACAAATCTGAGCACAATACAGCAGTCTCTGCTGTTCATTCTGGCTTAGCCATGCGACTTGGATCAGAGAAAAGAAAGGAAAGCAAATCATAACACCGCTTTTTTACACCAATGCTGATCCAAGCCAGATAGGAAAATAAATAAAAAGCCAAACCAAAGGCGCATTTCACTTGTGAGCATGTAACTCTTCTCAAACAACATATTTTGAAAGAAAGAAAGAAAGAAAGAAAGAAAGAAAAACCTTACAACACAAACATTACCTCATGCACATGAACACATTCATTTATCAGAGGAAATTCTAAGAAGACCCCGCAAATTTCCAAAGAAATTATGGGGATAGTTCACCCAAAAATTAAAATTCTGTCATCATTTACTCACCCTCATGTTGGTCTAAACCTGTGATTTACTTTCTTCTGTAGAATATAAATTAAGATACTTTGAGAACTATTGTTCATACAATGGCAGTCAATCATCACCAAAACTGTTTGGTTACCAACATTTTTTCTAAATATCTTCTTTTTGGGTGAACTATCCCTTTAAGACTAAAATCTTAAAACTGGGGGAAGAGGAAGTAAACCTGACAGCAAGTAACAAAATAATACAAAAGGACATTCTAATAAAAAAAGTTATGAAAAAACATTTTAAACCACAAAATGCATATGTGAGTGTTAAAGTTTCGGCATATTTTCTCATATTTTTCAGTAGTGTTTTCATCTGAGATAGCCTCAATTAAAGTGACCTTTATCATGTTAACTAATTATTTCACATTTAATTTTACATTTGTTTTATTTGTATAGTTTACATAAGAATCCACATATGTGGGTCAAACTGATTTTCAGTTGCCATCTGGAAAATAAATGATGGGGCAGGAGTAAAAGTGAAAGGAAATGAGAAAGATGAAGATATAGATAATAGATGACAAAGTGAAAAGCAGAACAGCAAATTGTAGGACGAGCAAAGAAACCAGCAAAGGAAGGATGAATGGATGGACAGGAAGGTAGATTTACCTGTGCCACAGCATGTGTGGAGTAGTCAGGATTATAATCCAACCTCTTTTTAGGAGGCTGAATACCCCGCCACCCAAACGAACGAACGAACAGCACAGCACAGAGGTGAAGAGGTGAAGATGAGGTGGAGAACCAGGTGCATCATGGGAAAAAGACACATGTGGAGAGAGTGAGAACATTAGGACATGGAGAAACGTACTCGGTTACTGACGTAACCTCGGTTCTCTCTAGAAGAGGGAACGAGTACTGCGTAATATCTTACGCTAGGGGGAAAACCTCTTTTCCACAAGATATTGAAGCCAAAAATTATCCTTAATTTTGAATTAATGTAAAACGCGTTGCGGCAGCATGCAGACATAGGCAAGACGGCTTGCGTGCCTATTGGCTGTCCTGCGGCAACTGCAGCAGCCTATCGAGAGAGGCCCTTGGTGACGTCAGATCCAATGGGGGTGCTTCCCGCCCACTACGTCACCTCCCGCCAAAGCGGGCGTGGCCTGGGCCTAAAAATATAGCTCGATGGGCTGATATAATCTGATTTTTCATCGCCGAAGCGAAGCTCACCCATCGCTGGATCAGGAGTGAAGAAGCCGCACCGTCTGAGAAAAGCTTTCTGCGGGACGAGCCTTTGCATCTGAAGCCGCTGGCCTTCATCTTGCCACCTTCAGTCGCCGTACCTGCTACGCTTTCCGGCGTTTATATCCTTTTACTCTGAGGAGTGTGTGTTCGCCGCTGCGACTCACGCTCTCTCTATCTAAAAGAGCAGCGTCTTTTTAAAGATGCCTCGTTCCCTCTTCTAGAGAGAACCGAGGTTACGTTAGTAATCGAGTATGTTCTCTTACGAGAGGTTCTCTCGTACTGCGTAATATCTTACGCTAGGGGAACACAGTGTAAAACGCCGTGCGTGCTGGGATCCAACACCAAAGTCCCAAGGGCAGGTGCCCGGGGCTCATATAGTGCAAAATCACCAGGGACTCACAAAGAGTCTGAGAAGAGAGGCTAGAAGCGTCATTCCCAATAAGTTAGCGTCCTAAGGGAGCTAATCACATCAACAGTGTTCCACACAGTCAGGGTGAAAATGTTCGGCCTGAACTGGGTAACGGTATGGGTCTTACTTTTGCCCATGGAGTTATTTTATCGATCAGCGAGCGGTGCTCAAGTGGTTGTAGTATTCTGAACCGAAGCAACGGGGCAGACAATACTGATTTTTAGACCGAAAGTAGTTTAGCCTGTAAGGCGGGAACCTCTAGGTTATAAAACCTTATAAATGTAGACGGGGAGGCCCAGCCTGCCGCCATACAGATATCCTGCAAGGTAATCAAGCTAGACCAAGCCCACGATGAGGCCATGCCTCTTGTGGAGTGCGCTCTAACACCTAAAGGACACTTCAAGCCTTTAGACGTGTATGCCAGCGCTATGGCATCAACTATACATCTGGATAGGCTCTGTTTCAATGCGGCTAGTCCCTTAGCACGTCCGCTGAATGAAACGAAGAGCTGCTCAGTCTGTCTGAAAACAGACGAGCGAGACACATAAGCTCTTAATGCCCTGACTGGGCAAAGGAAGCTTGCGTCCTTTTCCTCGTTGTAAACCGGCAGGGCAGACAGGTAAATAACCGGAGCCCTGAACGGTGTGTTGAGGGATTTAGGCACCTATCCGTGTCTTGCTTTGAGTATGACTTTCGAGTCATTTGGCCCAAATTCCAGACACGTCACGCTTACTGAGAGCGCTTGTAAATCCCCTATGCGCTTCACTGAAGCAAGAGCCATAAGAAACACTGTCTTGAACGACAGATGTTTCATGTCTGACAAATGGATTGCCTAGAACGGGGCACCTTTCATGGCTTCCAAAACCGTCGAACGGTCCCACATGGGGACTGAAGGGGGTCTGGGAGGATTCAGCCTCTTAGCTCCCTTAAGGGAGCGGCTGACCAGATCGTTCTTCCCCAGTGACTGGCCAGTCGAGGGTTTTGTAAACGCTGCTATGGCCGCCACATAAACTTTGAGCGTGGATGGGGTTCTGCCCTTATCCAGTAGCTCTTGAAGGAAGGAGAGAACTTCCGTAACCCTGCAGTCTAGTGGTGAAAAGCCTCGAGCTTTGCACCAGCCAGAAAACACAGACCATTTTGAAAAATAGAGTCGTCTTGTAGACGGCGCTCTGGCCTGCGTGATCGTGTTTAACACTCCCTCCGGAAGGTTTGCGGGTACCCGTTGATGGCCCATGCGTGCAGGGACCACAGCTCCGGGCGAGGATGCCAAATAGAGCCCTTGGCCTGAGAGAGGAGGTCTTTCTCGAATCAGGGAAAACGGATGCTCAGTGCTACTTGTGGCTCCGCTCTGGAAAAACCAGGCTTGGTTCCCAGTTCTGATGCAGCTGACAAGCACTGCCCCATGGCCAGCTTCTTCAACTTCTTCTCTTTAGCACCGTCCACCACGGAGAATGCTGCTGAGACAGAGGTACGCGGTCCCTTTGCAGGAAAACATCCATCCAGTCGGCTCGCCACGGCCTTTGAGAGCAGACGCATCAGCTCGGATTCGATGCTGGCCCGTTTCCCTGACGACTCGCGGGCAGAGGGGGGAAGGTCCACAGAGCTCGCCCAATCCTCACTGTCCGACGCCAGGATAGAGCAGCTGGCCTCCTCTACAGATGCAGCTATCTCGTCATCATTAATGGCGGAAGCGGCGGCGGACGGCGGCCGTTTGTCCGTTGGTGAGCGACTTGAGTGAAGCTGGTGAAGCTGGCGGGCGAACCGGTGAGCTTTCACGGGCTGGAGAAGGCTTGGGAACCCGCTGAGTACGGCGCTTTTTACGGCGCGGCACTATAGAGGGCGGAAGAGCAGACTCTGAGAAAAAATGCCAGGCGAGTCCCCAGAGTCACCATGGGCAATAGCTTGCAATGATGGCAGCCGCCATCAGCGAGCACGAGAGCTGCATGATCCTTACCCAGGCAGGTGAAATGGCGGTCCCCGTCGCTGAGTGCGGCTCGGCACAAGCCACGGGAACGAGGCATCTTTAAAAAGAAAAGATGCCGCAGAAAGCTTTTCTCAGACGGCGCGGCTTCTTCACTCCGGATCCAGCGATGCGTGAGCTTCGCTGAAGAGATGAAAAATCAGATTATATCAGCCCATCGAGCTATATTTATAGGCCCAGGCCACCCCCGCTTTGGCGGGAGGTGACGTAATGGTGACGTAGTGGTGACACTACTTCGCGTAGTGGTGACGCGAAGCGCCCCCATTGGATCTGACGTCACCAAGGGCCTCTCTCGATAGGCTGCTGCAGTTGCCGCAGGACAGCCAATAGGCACGTGAGCCGTCTTGCCTATGTCTGCATGCTGCCGCAATGCGTTTTACATTAATTCAAAATTAAGGATCATTTTTGGCTTCAATATCTCGTGGAAAAGAGGTTTTCCCCTAAGCGTAAGATATTACACAGTACGAGAGAACCTCTCGTAAGAGAACAGAGATCACACAAAACACGTAAACAAACAAAGGGTGAATACTAGTGTTTTTCTTTCGAAAATCGACTACAGTGCCCACACATGCTCCACCTACAGTACCTTACACACACTGACGATTGTGTGTACACATATAATACACGCAACGATGAAACTACAAAAGGCTTCACACATATTTTTTCACGCCAGAAATTGTGTTCTAGAAGCTGGAGGAACTGTGCATAATATCTCATTTATTACCATACAGTGGCCTCCAAGATATATGGACACTTGAGCCACACATCACACATTTTTATGCATTTCATTGCATTAGATAACATATAATAATGACAATACCTAATGACATTATTTTTGCAATGGCATTTGCAACTAGTGGATGTGCACTACCATTATACTTAAAAAAAGGTTAATTTGGTTACATCCTAGTATAGTGCATGGTCAAGTATATTAGAGAACGCCAGGTTTTGAGTGTCTGAATACGTTTTACAATTTTGTACAGTGTATCTATTGTTTTAACATTTAGAACTTCTTGATGTGATATTGTTCAGCTTGAAAAGTACAACGTTTATATGTGGATTAAGTGTAAAAATCATTTTTAGGGCCACTGTATCTGTTCATCTTTCTCATGAAAAGAGTTAGACATGTCAAGAGTGTTTTCTGCACAGGTTCTGCAGCTATAAGAGCTGTAAGCTGTATAATAAGAGCATGTGTGTGATACAGCAAACAGAGCCAAAGCAAAAACACAGTGTTTCACACTAAAAGTTAAAAGTGATTAAAAACTAATCAAATTCCTCTTAAAACAACACGGTACCCCATAAACAGAGCACAAGTACAGACAATGTTGCTCTTTCTGTGAGTGTTTTGAGAACAGAGCATGATTATTTACTTGTCTTGGGACACTAGCCTTGGGGTTTAACATCAGACATATGATGTCTGACCTGCTGCCTCTAGCATGTTATTGTGCTAATTGTTATTGTGGTGATGTTAAATGCCATTTGACTGTTTTCAGTGTGCAAACACAGATTCATTGGTCAAATAAGTGTTTTTAAAGCCACAAGTCAGAAATTTAACTACAACACACACACACACACACACACACACACACACACACACACACAGACGCTTGTCATGACACAACAGCATTTGTGCCGGATTAAAGCCTACAGCATGCCAACCTGCCGCACCCTCATTCAACTTACCGGCCGTCCAAACTCCAATTCGGAAAAGAATTTAAACCAAGGCTCGTTCTCTAAATCTATGTCATCTGGGTTTAAATCAAACGTCTGGAGCAAGAAGCAACATGGAAGAATAGAGGTAAACAGAGAGGAAAACAATGAGAGGAAAAGAGAGATGCAATCAGCATTAGGACCAAAATATGCTGCAAGGCATGTTGGGTAAAGAACAGAAGAGGATGATGTTGTGGGTCATCAACACATTTTCTTTCACACATAAAATATGCAACATCAAATCATAACAATACTTAGGACGTAAAGGTATAGTCCACCACAAAAAAGAAAATTCTGCCATCATTTACTCACCCTCATGTCATTCCAAACCTGTATGACATACTTTCTTCTGTGCAACACAAAATAATATAATTTGATGAATGTTGATAACCAAACAGTTTTGGTTCCCCTCGACTTCCATATGGGCAAAAAACAAACTAACAACGGAAGTCAATGGGAACCAAAAGTGTTTAGTTGTCAACATTCCACAAAAAAAAGTATTTCATTTGGAACAACATTAGGGTGAGTAAATGATGACAGACTTTTCATTATCGGTTGGAATTGTGCCTCTCAGTACTGTCCAGAAGGGGGAGACATCATGCTTTTTCCTCTCGTCTCTCTCTCTAAAGTCTTTTTCTCTCATCCTCGAGCTATGTCAGACCATGCTGAGAAAGCTGCCCACTCATTTTGCCACCTGGGACATCTCCCACTGCCACATCCACAGCATTTGTGCTGAGGGCAGTGCTGTGATTCAACCTCCTGACATTTCTATCCCATTGTTCCGTGTGAACCGAGCCGCTGGCTACATCTGCGCCGCTTTGTCTGACACCCTTCCAGCTTTTTACATCTGCAATGCTAAACAAAAGTTCAACTGCTCTCAAATGAGACATATAACAACTGAGGAAAATCCTCAACTGAGCCATTTTGTTTGTGCCTTTTTTCACTGTTGACAAATACAGTAGAAAGAAAGAGACATTATTAAGGGAAGAATGGAATTAGGACATGCTACATTGCTGGCAAAATTCAAACCTGCATCGTTCACATGAATACCGACTTAATGTTAACCACAGCACAATATAGCTCCAATTGATTGTTTTTATTGCAAACCTTTACCAATATTTTACCTACTACATGAACTAATAGACAAAGCAAAAAAAAGCTTGCTATAGCACCACATTGCTCTTGATAAGCAAACTCATGGCTGATGGTCCAATATTTGGTCAAATAATCCATGAAAACCCAGCCTTAACACATGTCCAATCATCTGGCTGGAAAACTGCAGTTCGACATTGTCAGATAGGCCTGTGAGCGTCAATTTTATAAAGGTGAATTCAAGCACAAACAATGAAAAAATCAATGAAATTGAGATTTTCCTCAATGTTTGCTTTGTGATTTATTTTTTATTATGTTTTTGAAAGAAGTCTTTTATGCTCACCAAGGCTGCATTTATTTTAAAATAAATAAATAAAATAATAAATAAATAAATAAATTATATATATATATATATATATATATATATATATATATATTTTTTTTTTTTTTACATGAAATATTATTACAATTTAAAATAACTGGTATCTATTTTAATATATTATAAAATGTCATTTGGGCAAAGAATAGGAAAAAAAAATCTGATTAAAAAATAATTAAATTATTAAATTATTAAAAACAATTCAACATACAGAAATCAAAGGAAAAGTTAACTGAAAACTAAATTGTCCCAAATGATTAGTTCACTCACTTATACTTAAATCTAAATATAATTTAATTTATTTCAAACAACATATTGTAGAAAAATGTTTAGGGTGTTAGTTTTACACACTTAACAAAAAAGTTGACACAAAAAGCACCATAAAAGTGGTCCATATGATGTGTGCACTGAGGTTATGATAACTTTGAGGAACAGACCACAATTTTTTTCGTTATTCAGTCTCTGCTGACAGAGCAATTTAATCCAGGACAAGGCCTAATCCGTGTAGGAGACTGACCCTGTCTATTTGATTTTGTGATTAAATAGACTGGAACAGCACTGAATTACTCTAAAATGAAGGAGAACCCAAGAACAGAATTTCCTTTAGACCTTTGAAACCATGAGTCCATGTTATGTGGGGATGTTTATGCCAGTTTAAATTAAATGAACAACAATAAGTATGATCACTCACAGGCCTTTCTTGCTCGAGGATGGAGGATTTTCCAGGCTCATACTCAAAGATGCTCCGTGGTTCCGCCCGATATTTACGAGTGTCCACTTTACGATCTGGAGGACCCCACTCATTTCTGCAGATAATAATGGCAATAAGAACCAATCAGAGTGGTCGGGCACCTTTGAAACGGAGCTCATTGCATGAGTTTGGGTGTCTTACGGGTCGTGTGAAAACTCCCTCTCTCTGTCCATGTCCCGCGAGCGGAGCTGAAGGAGTGAAGGCATGGGAGGGGGTGGTGGGGGCACAGGTGACTGTGAGAGCTCCCGATGGGTGGCACCGCCTGGCGTGTCTGAGGTATTTCTAGAGAGAGGCCGGTACGTGTGTGTTCGAGGGGGTGGGTGTGCATGGACAGGAGGGTAGTTGTCTAAGAAAGAGGCACGAATATCACAGTGATATGACAGATCAACAAAACAAATGTAAAGTGGCTAAATTAGAGCAAAACATAAAATATATGAACGTACACTACTATTCAAAAGTTTGGGGGTAGATTTTTTAAAAGAAGTATATTATGCCAACGCCAGTTACATGATCAAAAATACAGTAAAAACAGTAGTATTGTGAAATATGACTACAATTCAAAATACCTATTTTCTATTTGAATATATTTCAAAATGTAATTTATTCCTATGATAGTAAAGCTGAATTTTCATCAGCCATTACTCCAGTCTCCAGTCACATGATCCTGAAGAAATCATTGTAATATTATGATTTGGTGCTCAAGAAACATTACTTATTATCAATGTTGAAAAAGGTTGTGCTGCTTAATATTTTGTGGAAACAGCAATACATTTTTTTTCAGGATTCTTTGATGAATTGAAAGTTCAAAAGAACTGCGTTTATTTGAAAAATATTTTGAAACATTTGAAACGTTTCTACTGACAAATTTGATCAATTTGATCAATGCATTCTTGGCTGAATAAAAGTAATAATTTATTTCAAAAAACAAATCTTACTGACCTCAAACCTTTAAAAGGTAGTGTATGTTATATGATAAATTATAAAAAAATAAAAATAAAAAGGGGTTTATTTTAAAGAAATATCAGCAAATATCACAAAATAGCTTTTTAGGTTTTAAAAAAAACTAAATATATAATATTATAAAATAATATATTTATTGTTCACAAACAATACAATTTGGCACTTTCTAGATGCCAACTCTTTATTCTATTTTTAACACGATTGTAACTCAAATTGAATTTCCATTTTTGTTAATGTGGTAGGTATGTACTGTATATGCATATAAAAAAAGAATTACATCTAAATAGTTATATTGTACAATTTAATACCCTAAAAACTAAAAAACACTTCGTATATGCAACGCAGAAACACAGAGAGATGATTGAGACTTTTATCACACTATTACACTGTTAGATTTTAAGCAAGCAGATGGAAGATGGAAGTTTACATCAGCTCTTCAGATTTCAGATCTTACCATTGTTTATGACAGTATATGTTGCATTATATGTGTCTGCATAGTCATCGTCTGTTAAAACAGAATTACACAGTTAAGCAAAAAAAGTCTAAAAATACAGTATGTGTTTGTCAGTTTAAATGAATACTCCAGGATATGTTCTATTATCCTCCCACTCACTCCATCATACACACCTGCTTTATGAACCATGTGAATCTGTTTGAACATGGTCTTGTACCAGTCCTTGGGTCTGTCCACAGTCTAAACAGAAGCACACACATACACACACAGAAACGAGCAGCCTTGTCAGTTTGTTGGTTAAGCGCACAAAAAGCTAACAGCATTTGTCATTACCTGACAACCAACAAAATCACCAGAGCACAGAGAGAGAAACAGACAGGGAGTATCATAGTAACCTGCCAGCAAAGAGCCAGGAATGTTCTCTTCTGCTCACAAACACACACATTCATAGACAGTCTGAACTGCTGTGAGCTCAAAAGCATTCCTCTAACCACAATAAGAGGATCAAATGTCAAAACAACTCGGACACAAATCAAGAAAAATGCCCTCAAAACAGATCATTAACAGCTATTCGTTGTTTTAAACAATCAGTGACAGTAAGCAGATGTCATACTGTTTAAACTCTCCATCAAATCAAAATGGACAATTCTTATTTTTTATGGAATATTGCAGTATTTATTATAAATGATTTATCCGTGCACGTCTTTCTTTTTCTTACTTACTTACTTCGAAATTCTTGTGCCTTCATAATCTTTAATCAAAATAACTTCTCTCTCTTGCAGCAACATCTCTTCTCTTCTGTGATGATGTGTTTACTGGTATAGTAGGGGCAACCTACTCACATAAGATTATAGCAACAGCAAACGACAATGATCCAATGATCCTATCAATTCCTGATGGACAAAATCATGACCAGCACTACATTTTTTCTTGTTCAAGAAGACGTTTCACTCGGATAAATGTTACAATAGGGAAGAAAAGACTATTGCAACTTCCGTTTCATGCGACTTGAAAAAGAGGATGAGTGTTTGTTTTTGTTCTGTTACTAACAATATGCACTGTGATATTGCAACAAATAATAAAAGATCATAAATCTCAGTTTTTTACTAACCAACCACAACCGTGACAAGAACATTCTGTTGATTATTGGTGTATTATTTAGGTTATTTAGCACCGTGTACTCTAAACTGGTTCAAAAACCTGCTTCATAACACTATATTTATATAAACAGTTCAAGAAACACAATTAATATGGAGTAACTTGCATTTTAGAAAATATTGGCAGTTACTTTGTGTATTTTGCCATCAAAAATAGTACTAAAGAAATTCAAAACAGACTCAACCACTCGCATCTCCGAGCAACAGTTGCTTCTCTCTGGAACGAATCAGTGTTTTGAATGAATTGGTTCAATAAATGGTTCAATGACTCGCTCCTCAAGAGAGTCCTGATCATATCACATGCTGCAGTTCATTGTGGACATTAAGGATCTACTTGCATAAGTCACATTTATTAACAATATAATCAAAACAACAAACAAGCAGGAGGACAAGCGAATCAGAGAAACTCAAGAGAACAGCAACCAACATAACATAGACGAGAACGGACAAATATCAACTAAAACTGAGGGCTATTTATACACAGATTAAGGCTATGTTCACCCTGTCAGTTCAAATCCGATTATTTGTGTATATGATTGGAATTTGATATAAATTATTGACTGTCCACACTGTGTATCGCAACTGTTCAGATCTGATTTGTTTTTCCGAAATATCTGCATTGGTTTCTATGGCAATGATGTTGCGTTGGTAGGCATAAGGCAAAAACAACAATGTGCAATTGGAGGATTTTGCAATCCAGATGTTGTCTTATTTACAACATGACAATATGTAGCCGCACTGGACTACTACGTCTTCAGAGGCAGATGCAGAAACGTAGGAGGCTGGTATGCACAGCTTTAGTCTGTGCTGTCGTCTCTGCCGGTCTCAAAACATGTCTTCATTGTAATGTAATTTTCTGCTTGACTGCTCAACAACACAACCTTGTTTGATAGTGACTTTCAGCATTATTTCCTATACTGTAACAACGTCTGATATGTTTACATTTTACGTCACGTGAGAAAGTGACGTAAACAACGCAAAATGTGATTAGAGTGGTCAGACTGAAATGGATTTACAGAAATGCAATTTGAATAGGATTTCAAACCACACTAGCCTGACTACGTCAGACTTCGTACTTCCGCTCAATTTCATTTCGCTTCTGTACTTAGTCTGAGACATCGACATGTCTCTCAGTTTTCCTCCGGCCTGAAAACAGCCGGCCAATCAACGAACAGAGGGCGGGCTGAGAGCCGTGACGTAGACGCTAAGCGCCGATTGGGGAAATCGAAAACGACCGCGGATATGGAGACACGGGATGCAATTCGCTCTGCTATGGAGAATATTCCTGGCATTTCCAAACTGAAGCCTGAACAAGAAGAGTGTTTGTTAAACATTTTGAATGGAGGTGATGTCGTGGCCCTACTCCCGATAGGTTTTTGGTAAAAGTTTAATTTATCAAATATTACCGATCGTCAGCGAGAAACTGGGCAGGCCAAAGGCCGGCAAGGCGATAGTTGTGATTGTGTCCCCCTTGGTTGCACTCATGGAGGATCAGGTTAAGGAGGCAGCAAAACTCGGTCAGCCATGTTCACTCCGGTATTTCGCTCGATGGTTTCGTTTTCGCATCATACATTTCATAACCAAAGTTTCATAACCAAACTTTATGTGATTGGCATACGGGTAACCAATGATTTTATACTTCAGACAAGCCCCCCTGCCCCGCGATAAAGAAAACACTTTTCAATGATGACATGCCAGACTCTGTCTATGAAGCAAAGCGAAGTAGCAGAGTTTGGTATTACCAGGCTAAAACCACACATGAATGTAGCTCAAAAAAGATTTGTAAAAATTACATTTCATGATTTTTTTGCCGTTCACCCTAGGTAAATATGATCGGATTCCAATCGGATATGCACAAAAATCAGATTTGAACTGACAGTCTGAAAGAGGCTTAAGTGAACAGAAGGAACAGGTGAGGTGAATCAATTAACCAATGAATTACCATTGTCATTTTTGTCAGTTCCCTTAAAAATGCCTGCATATCACTTACCGTACGGATGGCGATGGGAATGCCTGACTCATCCACTGGTCCAATGCCTTCGTAATGGGGTGCTTTTATCACAGACACCTTCTTCTCTTCCTCCGAGAAACGAGCGATCGGCACAGAGCTACTGACCACTGTCTGACCAGAGACAATGGTCTCTCTCTTCACCGTCTCTGAACCCTCTGAGAGAGAGAGAGAGAGAGAGAGAGAGAGAGAGAGAGTTTGGATACAGATTAGAACTGCTGTGCAATTTTTTCTGTCATTGACAATTGTTTCTTGTCAAATTGTATATGACCCCAGTGAGATCCTGGGTAACAGCAATGCAGACAGTGCAACAACCTAGAATCAACCTTTTTAACGGAACGTCTCTCCCTCTCTGTCACTCTCTCTCACACACACATCATTGATTTCTGTGCTGCTATTGGCTCTTCATTAAACTGCTTCCATAGATACGGTCACAGTGCAGGACTCAAAATTTGTAACTGTCAGGACTTTGTCAGAGGCAATTAATTGGTTGTCCATGAGCATGTCACACTAAGCGAACAAAGACTGCCTTGGGCAAAATAAATCTGGAATATTCCCCAAAAATGTGTCTCAGATGGCAAAATCATGCCAAATATCACACCGAGTCCGCCCAAAAAACCCCACAAAAAACACTACACTACCGTGACAGAAATTGGGAATAGAAACTAAATGGCGTGGCTGAGCTTGACTGTCAGTCAAATCTAATCTAATTGAGCAGGAACACTGACATGGCACAAGCTCTCACTCTGACTAAGCACCTGTCACGGTTGAGGAATTCACTGACTGTTCCTTGCGCTGTGTTTATGTTTGTGTGTGTGCACGTGTGTGGGCGTGGTCGCTGATTATCCTCCTGGAGATCAGCGACAGGTGATACTCATTTCCAGTGCCTATTTATACTCACCTCATGCGTCTTGTGTTTGTCAGATCGTTGTTTTGTGGATGTGTATTGCCTGTTCCTGTTCCTTGGGTCCCAGTCTGTTCTTCGTGGATGTCCGGTTCGTCTCATCGTCTCATGTCTCGTCTTCACGGAGGATTTGCCACACACACTGACCGTGCTTCGCTGAGTTGTCCACGCAAGCCTGCGCTGCCAACGCATCTGTTCCTGCACTGAATCCTTTTGGGTCTGTGAGTTCGTGAGATCGACTTCATCGGACTGAGACTTTGTTCCTGTCTTATTTCTCCACGTTCTGAGGCTGGCTTATCTGTTTGTTCAATAAAGCCCAGTTTTACTTGCACTTGTCTCCTCTGTTCACTTCCCGTAACAGAACGATCTGACCGCTATGGAGGCAGCAGGTACGTCCGAACTCACGGATTATCTCGCTCACAACACGGCCCGGATGGATCGGCAGGAGGAGAATCTCACCACCACAAGCCGGGCTGTCCAGGCGTTGGTAGCGCAGGTGTCTGGGCTCACCCAGCAAATTCAACAACTGGCCATACCCACTGCGCCCAACCCACCGCCGCCCCCACCCCCCGCTCCTCCCGCACCTAACCGTCCACACGAGCCCCGTTTACCGACGCCGGAGAATTATTCGGGTGAGCCTAACCACTGCAGAGCCTTTTTGACTAAATGCTCCATGTTTTTTGCCCTACAGCCTCAGACATTTAGTACAGAACAGTCTAGAGTGGCGTTCGTACTCACTCTGCTGTCTGGACGTGCGGCTTTGTGGGGGACGGCGGTGTGGGAGAACCAACGAACATGCTGTTCCTCGTTCGCGGCACTCTCGGAAGAGATGAGGAGGGTATTCGACCGAGCTGTCACAGGGAGAGAAGCGTCTCGTCGGCTCGTGGACCTCACTCAGGGAGAAGGATCTGTTGCTGATTATTCCATCCAGTTTCGTACCCTTGCCGCAGAGTGCCGCTGGAACGAGGAGGCGCAGTGGGATGTCTTCCTGCATGGGCTGGCTGACCGCATCCAACGCGAGATTTACTCCCTGGATCTTCCCGTAAGTCTCAACGGATTGATTGACTTGGCCCTGCAAGTGGACGCTCGCCTGCATCGTCTGGAGCAGCGCAATCGTTCCATTCCGATTCCCAGAGATTATGGTTTCCACCAAACTAGTGGTCGTGATGCGGTCAGCCCCGCCAACGATCCGGAGCCCATGCAGGTGGGTCGAGCCCGGCTCTCCCGGGAGGAGAGGGAGAGAAGGAGATCCCGGGGATTATGCCTCTATTGCGGAGGTTCTGGGCACTTCATCAATAACTGCCCCGTAAAAGAGCGAGCCCGGCAGTAGAGAAGAGGATTCTGTCGGGCGGGGTCTCCATCCAGAAACCCTCTTCCACCCTCCTTCCGGTGAGATTGCAGTGGGCAACTCAGACTCATCACTGCCAAGCCCTTATCGACTCCGGAGCGGAAGGTAACTTTATGGACTACACCTTAGCACACAGACTTCAGATACCCACCATACCCCTCACCAATAAGATTTCTGTCAACGCACTCAATGGACAAGAATTACCCACTATATCTCACTCCACGGTTCAGATAACACTCATCACTTCTGGCAATCATTCCGAAGATCTATCTTTTCTGCTTCTTGACTCCCCTACCATCCCTATTGTCCTCGGTCATCCCTGGCTCGTGCAGCATAACCCCAGGGTTAACTGGGGACATAACTCCATTTCCGCCTGGAGTACTGAATGTTATGCGTCTTGTTTAATGTCTGCTGGTTCGTCTCTGTCCAGTTCTGTCTTGCAGGAGGAGCCGGTGAATTTGTCAAACGTGCCCGCTGAGTACCTCGACCTGAAGGAAGTGTTCAGTAAGTCCAGAGCTGCTTCTCTTCCTCCGCATCGTCCCTATGACTGTGCTATAGATCTTCTGCCAGGTACGTCTCCGCCTAAGGGCAAGTTATACTCTCTTTCCATTCCCGAGAGGGAGGCCATGGAGAAATACATTTCTGATTCTCTGACATCCAGGTTCATTCGACCTTCCTCTTCTCCTGCGGGGGCGGGGTTCTTTTTTGTGGGGAAGAAGGACGGTTCCCTGCGACCGTGTATTGATTACCGGGGGCTGAACAACATCACGGTAAAGAATACCTATCCTTTGCCGTTGATGTCTTCAGCCTTCGAGCGGTTGCAGGGAGCCTCGGTCTTCACTAAATTGGATCTACGTAATGCTTATCATTTGGTCCGCATCAGGAAGGGAGATGAATGGAAAACCGCTTTTAACACCCCCAGGGGGCATTTTGAATATTTGGTCATGCCGTTCGGGCTGTCCAACTCCCCAGCGGTTTTTCAGGCACTCGTCAATGATGTGCTGAGAGACATGGTAGACCAGTTCATATATGTCTACCTGGATGACATATTGATTTTTTCTTCGTCTCTCCAGGAACACGTTCAGCACGTCAGACGAGTGCTTCAGAGGCTGTTAGAGAATGGGCTTTTTGTCAAGGCGGAGAAATGCGCGTTTCATGCACAGTCTGTTCCTTTCTTAGGTCACATCGTCTCGTCTGAGGGAATGCGTATGGATCCCGACAAGATTAAGGCCGTGGTGGATTGGCCAAGTCCAGATTCCCGTAAGGCCCTACTGAGGTTTCTGGGGTTTGCCAATTTTTACCGACGTTTCATTCGTAATTTCGGCCAACTAGCCGCGCCTCTGACAGCCTTGACCTCCTCCAGAACGACGTTCAGGTGGTCCGATGTAGCCGAGACTGCATTCGCTAACCTCAAGAGCCGCTTTGTTTCCGCTCCCATTTTGATAGCCCCTGATCCTTCACGTCAGTTCGTGGTGGAGGTCGATGCGTCAGAGGTGGGGGTAGGTGCGGTACTCTCCCAACGCTCTTCCTCAGACGACAAGATGCACCCTTGCGCGTTTTTTTCTCATCGCTTATCGCCTTCCGAACGCAACTATGACATTGGTAACAGGGAGTTGTTGGCGGTCAAGCTAGCGTTGGAGGAATGGCGACATTGGTTAGAAGGGTCGGGGGTACCTTTTATAGTCTGGACTGACCACAAGAATCTGGAATACATTCAATCTGCTAAAAGACTCAACTCCAGGCAGGCTCGGTGGGCCCTTTTTTTCGGTCGTTTTGATTTTACTCTCTCGTACCGCCCGGGTTCCAAAAACATCAAACCCGACTCTTTATCTCGTATTTTTGACCCATCCGCACGCCCGTCTACTCCCGAGTGCATTTTACCCGAGACTCTATTCATCTCCACACTCACATGGGAGGTCGAATCGAAGGTCAAGACGGCCTTAGAAGGGGTAACGCCTCCGCCCGGAGGTCCACCGAATCGTTTATTTGTGCCGGAGGGGTTGCGGTCCGACGTTATCCAGTGGGGTCATTGTTCCAACGTGGCATGCCACCCAGGAGTAAACCGCACTAGTTTTTTGGTCAAGCAACGATTTTGGTGGCCATTGATGGCTCGCGACATTCGAGATTTTGTTTTGGCTTGTTCGATCTGTGCCATTGGTAAGACTTCCAATCGACCCCCAGATGGGTTACTCCAACCGCTGTCTGTCCCTTCGAGACCCTGGTCCCACATTTCGCTAGATTTTATCACCGCCCTCCCGCCCTCTCAAGGTAAGACGGTTGTTTTGACCGTAGTGGACCGGTTCTCGAAGGCGGCTCATTTCATTCCCTTGGCCAAATTACCTTCTGCCAAGGAGACAGCGGTGACTGTCATTGATCACGTCTTTCGTCTACATGGCCTCCCGACGGACGTGGTCTCTGACAGGGGGTCTCAATTTGTGTCCAAATTCTGGCAAGAATTTTGTAAATTACTGGGGGCCACTGTTAGTCTGTCCTCGGGTTACCACCCCCAGAGCAATGGTCAGACCGAGAGAGCCAACCAAGATTTGGAGAGAATGTTGCGATGTGTGGTATCCAAGAATCCTTCCTCCTGGGGTCAACAGCTTTCCATGGTGGAGTACGCACACAACTCGTTACCAGTGTCATCTACGGGCCTATCACCGTTTGAGTGTAGTTTAGGGTACCAGCCACCTATTTTTCCCAGCCTGGAATCCGAAGTCGCGGTCCCCTCCGCTCACGCCTTCGTCCAGAGGTGTCACCGTACATGGAACAGAGCCCGTGAGACTCTGCTCCAGGTAAGGGCGCGCACCAAGGTTAAGGCCGATCGCCACCGGTCAAGACCTCCCGTCTACGTCGTCGGTTCCAAAGTGTGGCTTTCTACTAAGAATATTCCTCTCCGTTCCGTGTCG